ATCCTAATCTTAACCAAAGACACACTAAAGTGTTCTGGCCTGTCAGTGTAGAGCATCATAGAAGAGTAGATGTTTCCTTCAGCCTCTCGTCTCCAAATACGAGACTAAATATTCTGGCCTACAAGGTTCTTATTGACTACAGCAGACGTCAGTAACAGCCTGACAGAATGAAAATTAAACACTGTCCACAACAATAACCTGAACAATAATTTGTCAATATAAAAGGAAAAAATGTAACACGTCCCAAAATCCCTCACATAAACAAACACAAACATGCCCCCCCAAAACAGGCTCTCATCCCCTACAGCTTACAGACTATTCAAAGAGCTCTACTTCATATAAAGTTCTGACCACACTTGTGTTTATAAATGTACATATGATCAAATATGAATTTATTTGCAGATTTTGTTTCTGGTTGTTGCAGTTTGTTTATTGTTTGCTGTTGAGCCCCCATGTTTTATTATTTTATTGTGTTACAATTTGATGTGTAAAGAACATTTAGTCATATTTTGTTCATTAAATTAGATCCTTTCATCCTGTTAAGTTTTTATGTATCGTGAAAATGTATCTTACATGAAGGATGTTTGAGGAAATCTTTGAATGAAAATAACTTCAACTTTTAGCCTGTTGTTATAAAGTAATTCATTCAATTATAATGCAAGAATTTCAGTATTATTTTCAATTTAAAACCTAATGATTATTAACTGAAACATAGTTACATTATTTTGGTTCACATAATCTCACAGTCGATCCAAAATTTTGAAGCCAGATTCCAGCATAGAGAGGCTGAGTGAATGTGGTGTGGACTGTGTGTAGGAGGGTCATTGTGTCAGAGACGCTGTAGAAGGACAGAGTTCCTGCACTGTGATCCACATACACTCCTATTCTGGAGGATGATGAGGCTGAGATCTCAGTCTGAATGTTGTTGTGATAGAAAGAGAGAGAGGGAGAACACTGCAGACTCCAGGACTGACTGTTGTGTCCAAACCAGCTCTGATTACCACTTCCTTTCCTGCTGATCCCTTTATATGAGACTGATATGTACAGCTCCAAGCTGCTTCTCCTGCTCACTGTTACGCTGGACCTGGAGATGTGGAGTGTGATTTCTGTACTGGGAGAAAACTCAAAGCCATCAAGTCCTGTTTGGTGTGTGTAGCGTCTCTTTGTGAAGCTCATCTTAAACCTCATCTGGAAATTCCAGATGAGGTTTAAGATGAGCTTCACAAAGAGAAACAATATACTAGACAGAAAAACATTTATATACATATGTATGTATGTATGTATATATATATATATATATATATATATATATATAAATAAGCCCTTTGCTGCAAAGATAATTAACTCTGATCAGCTCTCAGCTGCTCATTATTAACGTAACGCTGAATGATGGCGCACGCGGTGGTAAAAAAGCACATGAATTCCGATATGAACGTCACATTAAGGTCGCATGGCCACGAACCAGATACGAATCCGATCTAGGACCACATATGAAAGTGGCTCAGGTCGGATTTGAAAAGATCAGATTTGCGTGTCCACACAGCCCTGAAAACATCAGATCTGAGTCACATTAGACCAAAAAATCTGATTTGTGCCACTTCAGCCTGGTAATGTGAATGTAGCCTTTAATATTCCACTTAATAAATGGCTTTCTTGATTTTATGTATTGGGAAAAAGCATCTTACATAATGGATGTTTGACAAAATCCTTGAATAAACATAATTTCAACTTTTAACCTTCTGTTATTAAGTAAGTAATTTAGTTATAATTCAACAATTTAAATCATGTTAAATCTAATGATTATTAACTGAAACATACTACAGTCACATTATCTTGGGTCACATAATCTCACAGTTGTTGTAAAATGATAAAACCAGAATCCAGCATAGAGAGGCTGAGTGAATGTGGTGTGGACTGTGTGTAGGAGGGTCATTGTGTCAGAGACGCTGTAGAAGGACAGAGTTCCTGCACTGTGATCCACATACACTCCTATTCTGGAGGAGGATGAGGCTGAGATCTTAGTCTGAATGTTGTTGTGATAGAAAGAGAGAGAGGGAGAACACTGCAGACTCCAGGACTGACTGTTGTGTCCAAACCAGCTCTCATTACCCCCTCCTTTCCTGCTAATCCCTTTATATGAGACTGATATGTAAACACGTCTACCTCTGCTCCACTCAGCCTCCCAGTAACAGCGTCCACTCACACTCTCCTTACTCAACACCTGACACCTTTTGTCAAATCTCTCTGGATGATCAGAATAAAGCTGGATGTTATTATTGCACGTCACCACTCTGTTCTCCTCAGACAGACTGAGGTAGTGATGCATTGTGTTGGGATCCAGAGTCAGATGACAGAAATCTAACAAAGAAAGGAAATGAAAACATTTGTTCATAAAACATACATATTTTGAAAAGTCTACTTAAAGTCTACTCAGAGTTTCCTTTTGTCTATTTTTCTAGTTTATAGTTCATATCGCTGCTGTCCAAAATACCAAAATGGTAACTTTACAGGAACATATATAACGTAAGTCAATTATAGGGCATTTCTATTGATAAATTCTATTGATGAATAGGACAGTGTCTAATAAGCCTTAAGAAAAAAATAATGTGTTCATATTTAAACCTCTAACACTGATTCACCACCATGTTGTTTAAAGCTGATTCTGGTTTAGAAGCTCACAGCATTCAGAATATTAGGACGCTTAAATAGACAAGATGATTAAAAAGCTGAATCTGTGTGTATGTGTGTGTGTGCGTGTGTGTATGTGTGTGTGTGTGTGTGTGTGTGATTGTGTGTGTGTGTGAGTGGGTGTGTTTGTGTGTGTTTATATGTGTGTGTATATATGTGTGTGTGTGTGTATGTGTGTGTGTGTGCGTGTGTTTGTGTGTGTGTGTGTGTGTGTGTGTGTGTGTGTGTGTGTGTGTGTGTGTGTGTTGTGTACATACACTGTAGAAAATCTTCTCTGGTTTTTGGCTCTGAGGGTAAAATCATCTGAACTGCTGCAACTGTGGAGACACACAAACACAATGATCATCAGACTGAATGAAGGAGACTGAAATACTTCATCCAGATAGAAAGAAGCAGAGAACAGATTCACAGCACAGTTCACACAATTAAACTGAGATAATTTGAGTAGAGAGAGAAACTAAGTGTCTGTCTGTGGTTCTCAATCCAGTCCTCAAGGCCCTCCAGACGTTCCACATTCATGTACCTGCTACAGGTGAATTGGGAGCTGAGCCTGAGCAAAAACATGGACCATCTAGAGGAGCCCTGACGTTTACGATCCACTGCCTTATGGCAATTTGAAAAAAAAAAAACAGGAAACTTAAACTTATTTTCACATTTTCAGGTATCAAAATGTATATAACTTATTTACTGCGTAGCTCAGAAAATAGTATTTCTTTTTGTTGCTGATCATTTAAAGATTTTCACTAATCTGTCAGTGATCAAGTAAACATGTTCATCATTGTGTTTCACAGCAGGAAGCTCCTCTTACCATGTGGAGAGATTTTACTGAATTCCTGCTTGCAGAATTCCTCTAGTCTCTCTTTCAGATCAGAGAGAGATTTCCTCACTCCATCAAATGAGAGATGTTGATGGACAGTGATGCTGGGTGAGTCCTCAGATCCAGAAGAGACACAGAGAGACTGGAAACTCTACAGAGAGAGAAATATGATGAAGAAATGATAAATGTGTACAAGAGTAAAGAAAGATATGTGTTTTGGAAGAATTATCAGCCTCTGTAGATCAGATTGTTACCTGTAGGAAATGGATGTGATCCTCTGTGTGTGAAAGCTGCTCCAGCTCAGTGTGTCTCCTCTTTAGATCAGCAATCTCCTGCTCCAGTTGCTCCAGGAGTTCTTCAGCTCCACTCAGTTCAGCCTCCTCCTGAGCTCTGATCAGCTCTGTTACCTCAGAGCGCTTTTTCTCAATGGAGCGGATCAGCTCAGTAAAGATCCTCTCACTGTCCTCCACTGCTGCCTGTGCAGAGCTCTGTTACAACACACACACAAGATGGAGCTCCATTTACACACCAGCTATCATTCACTCTCTCACTGGGACTCTAGATGACTCACTGTCCACATTGTGGCTGTGTAGGATCTCTAAGTGTCCAACACTGGACTTCTCACTGTCTGACTGGAGGACAGTCTGACTGAGCTGTGAAACAGCTGCTCCAGCAGATCTCTGCTCACTACTCACCTTAAGAGTCTTCACAGCCTGTTTCACCTCCTGCAGCTTCTTCTCTTTCTCCTGGAGTCTCTGCTGGAATTTCCTCTGCACCTCCTTCAGCTGATTCTGAGGAGAAAGAATTTGTATTCTGGTTTATATTAAAAGCAGATGAAGAGTTCAAGTTCACTCTAGTTCTACATGTGAGCAGAATAAAGCTGTAAATATGCTGGAAGACGGGCGTTGGCTGGTCAAAGGTTTGCTGACTGGTTTGACTTGTTGTTAAGAGTAAGTAACATCAGGTTTATTTAACACTTTCCTACCAAAATCATGAACTGATCATCTGTATAATTGTGTAATTAAGTAAAGTATCAGATTCTAGAGTAGAAATATAATCAGCTTGAAGTGAGTCTGAAAGTTTTTTACTTCTCACCTGTTTGTCTTTTCTTTCTGCTACAGCTGCAACTGTACTGTGTCCCATGTGTTCATCCATCGTACACAAATAGCAGACAAACTGTTGGTCAGTACGGCAGTAGATCTCGATCAGTTTATCATGTTGAGGGCAGATCATCTCTTGTAGCTGTTTGGAGGCTTCGACCAGCTTGTGCTTCTTAAAGGCAGGAGACTGATAGTGAGGTTTAAGATGAGTCTCACAATAAGAAGCCAGACACACCAAACAGGACTTGATGGCTTTCCGTTTTCTCCCAGTGCAGAAATCACACTCCACATCTCCAGGTCCAGCGTAACAGTGAGCAGGAGGAGCAGCTTGGAGTTCTGTCTTCTTCAGTTTCTCCACCACTTCAGCTATAACATTATTTCTGCGTAGAACAGGCCTTGGAGTGAAGGTCTCTCTGCACTGGGGGCAGCTGTAGACCCCCCGCTGATCATCCTGATCCCAGTAGCCATTAATACACACCATACAGAAACTGTGTCCACATGGGGTCGTCACTGGTTCCTTCAGCAGATCCAGACAGACTGGACAGCTGAACTGGTCCTGATCCACTGAAATACTGGCCTCTGCCATTTTCCTGAGCCTGAGAGAGAGCAGCTCTCTGAGATCAGTTTCGTTTCCTCTGAACTGAGTAGGAGTGGCTTCCTGGTTCTGCATGTGTCATAGAGAAAAGGGTGGAGAGAGAGAAATGAGGAGGAGACTGAAGAAGAGACAGACAGAGACAAAATCCTTCAGTTAAATTTTCATAGAAAACGTGGAGTAGAAGCGTTTAAAGTAGTAGATTAAATGGACTCCAATTTGTAGGAGTAATAAAGTATCTACTCATCAGATCTACACATTATAACTGCAACATTTCCACAAGAAATGATCTGTACTGCAATTTTGTACCAGCATTTAAAAAAAAAAACGTATTTAGTTTTTAGTTTATTTAGTATTTATTTTTCAAATTTATTTAGTATTTTATCTTTTTTTTTTCTTTAAATATCAGTACTTTAATCTGAGCAGGACTGTGTGTGGTTCTGTGAGAGATTCTGTTGAAGTAAACTATCAGATTATCAGTCATGTAGTCTTACAGTTGAGTTTAATTCACTTAAAGACCAAAATAACACAGAAATGGAGGAAAAAACAACCAAACATTTAAAAACTTTATCGTGTGAGAACCTGAAATGATAACAGAGCAGTAATTAATGTAGTAATTCAACATTAACTATTAATCTCAGAGCATAAATAAAACTCGGTGGATCAGACGCAGCAGTGCTGCTGGAGTTTTCCACTCACTGTCCACTCTATTAGACACTCCTACCTTGTCAGTCCACCTTGTAGATGTAACGTCAGAGATGATAGCTCATCTGCTGCTGCACAGTTTGTGTTGGTCATCCTCTAGTCCTTCATCAGTGGTCATAGGACGCTGCCCACCGGACGCTCTTGGCTGGATACAAGGAGTTGGTCATAATGTTATGCCTGATCACTGTATTCAGGTAATTCCTCCCCTAGAATAAACCATTACTAACATGGGTTAAACAAGAATACTGACTATTCATATAATTTACATTTTATATAATTACATTTGTATATTTATACAGTAATTATATTACATAATCTCCTCTCACTGTTCATATTCACAGTCATGACGTCTTTAGCATTCTTTTACAGCTACATTGTACACTTATTAACACAATTTTCTCTTCTACAGGTTTTGTTTCTACCTCACCTTCTACAGAGGATGGACTCATCCAGGTAAGTAAAAGTTCTTAGAGATGAGGATGGTCAGTCCACGGGTAAGTATAGATAAATATATACAATAATCTTTACTTGTGATGTATAAGGAGTACCTTACATCATCACACCAAGGCATCAGTCGATGGTTCTACCTGCTGATGTAACTTTATTAATACTAGGTACTAGTAGTAAGCCAGCCGCTTTAAATAGCTGTGGCAGTTTGTAAAAGGAAATAAATTCACTCAGGTACTGAGAGGCGAGGCGTTTAGAGCTTTATGTATCAGTAGAAGAATTTTGTACTCAGTGTGGAATTTAGCTGCAATTGAATTGAATCGAGAACCAAAACTGTAAAAAACCTTGTTGCAAGTAACAAACTGTAAAAACCTTGTTAAGTACTTAACAAAGTTAATTACTTGTTTGTTAACTCTCTTCTTTTCACTTCTCTTCTTCTTGAGTGCCTTGCTGCTGTAACATTGAGAATTTCCCCATTGTGGGACTAATAAAGGATTATCTTATCTTTCTTGTCTTATCTAATCGAATCTTATCTTATCTTATCTTATCTTATCTTATCAGCCAACTGTGTTTTGCACACAGATGAATTAGACATCTGCATTTAACCCATCCGTGCAGTGAAACACCCACATACATGCACACTAGTGAACACACACTAGGGGGCAGTGAGCACACTTGCAGTGGGCAGCCCTATCCATGGTGCCCGGGGAGCAGTTGGGGGTTAGGTGCCTTGCTCAAGGGCACTTCAGTCATGTACTGTCGGCCAAGGGGATCAAACTGGTGACCTTCCAGAGGTTCCTTAACCTCCAGCCCACGACTGTCCCAGTAGATTAGCAACCAGTGTAGGGCTGATATGGTCAAACCTCCTAGTTCTTCAGAGGACTTATTTAAAGCTTGTTCAGGCTTTTGCTGGACATCATTAATCATCATTAATCATTAATTAAACCTTGAGATTATAAATGCATAAACTAGCACCCTGCAGGCTGTGCATCACTTAATTTGGTAATATTCCTAAGACAAAGGAAAGTTATTCTAGTAATATTGCTTATATGCCTATTGAAGGACAAATAGGGATTAATCGTTCCACAGATGTACCTGATGCAACTCAGAAGCTATGAAGTTTAAGCGTTTAATTAGACAGTTTGTTTCTTGCAGCTTTTGAACCAAAAAGAAGAACCTCTGTTTTGTCTGAGTTGAGTAGGAGGGAGTTACTCAACATCCAGTCTTTTATGTCTTTATACACAGTCCTCAATCTTAGTACACTGAAATGTATCATTCAGTTTGGCTGATATATTCAGTTGTGTGACATCATCAAAGCAGTTGAAATTTATGAACCAGAAGTCTGAGGAGTTAATGCCTCTAAAAGCTCCCTTACAGAAAATGATTGCATAAAGTAATTAGAAATATGCTGCCTGATGCTCACAACACTGTTTTACATTTGTTTTGAGAAGATTTTGGACTAAAACATAGATTTTAAACCCATTCATGATGGAGAGGTGCATGAAGAGCTTTGTAGGGCAAATAGTCCCCATTTTTTTTTTGACCATGAACGTTACATATAAAAACTCATGTGGAGGTCCACTGGATAGTAAATGATATATATATATATATATATATATATATATATATATATATATATATATATATATATATATATATTATTTGTGGCGTACACATTGTGAACCCTGGTTCCTATCACCACCACTGTAAAGAAAGAAGAGTCTGTAAATTTCTCTACAGTGAACCATTTCACATCCAACTGCTCTGAATGACTTGTTTACATCTCAACCATTGAATAATAAAGACAAAGAAAAATCTCTAGAATTGAAAAAAAAAAACTTCATTAAGGTCAGCTTTGTTTTCTGATGAATTTATTGTCGATGTGCAACAGAACACATTAATATTTTCACTTGCTGTTTCACTGGAGTATAAACAGGAGGTGACACACAGGCCACATTCTCTGTTATCCATCACGATGAGAAAGAAACAGCTATGATACACGACATCAGGCACAAATCAGGAAATGGCTACAAGAAAATAGCTAAACAGTTGGCATTGCCTATTTCTGCTATCCAAGCAACAATTAAGAAGCTTAAAGCAACTGGAGACAGAGATCTAGGAAGAGGATGTATGTCTATACTGACCCCACGCAACTTAGACAACTTATTTAGGTACGTGGTATCATGTGTCAACAAGTGCCAACAGATAGTAAATCAACATCTGACTGCCTCAGCCAGGAAGCTGAAATTGCATTTGGATTGGATTTTCCAGCAAAACATTGATCCCAAAATCAGCACAAACATGGTTCACTGACCACAGAATCAAAGTTTTACCATGACCATCCCAGTTTTCTGACCTAAACCCCATAGAAAACCTGTGGAATGACCTAAAAAGGAGAGTCTCCAAGCATGGATCTCAGAATCTGAAAGATCTGTATGGAGGAATGATCTCGGATCCTTCGCCATGTGTTCTCCAGTTTCATTAAGCATAATAGGAAAACATTCAGAGCTGTTATCTTTGCAAAGGAAAGCTAGACAAAGCGCTAAATGAAGGAGTCTAACAATTGTGGCTCGCACAAATTTGAGAAAATGATTTATTTCTTGATATTGTTTTCTTGCACGTCACATGCAGGTTAGCTTTTTGTTCGTGGTTTAAATGAAAGATCAAAAGAAGAAGCAATATAGAATTTTTCATAGCCTGCTTTGCTCATGTTTAGTGGGCTGCCATTATTAAGGCACTGCACAGTAGACAGACAGGTGTGTTTAGGGCCTACAGAGGAGAAACACATGGTCAAATCAAAGACCCTCACTCTAAATGGCAACACTGTTATCAACATTTCGTGGATTCATGTATATGTACGGCAGAACAAGCTTCTTGTTCCTGGTATCGATTTTCATCTCAAGATCTTGCAGAGCACTTTTAAACTGTGCTATCAGTTTCAGCGGTGCCTCCTCGCCGAACAGCTCCTCGGGGTAATGTCCAAGCGGATACTGTGAAAGTGCAACAGGACAATGTTAACGGTTCATTTTGCACTGATGAACAGATGAAGTGCATTTGATTAGGCAAATTCTGAAACAGGCCATTGACCTAAAGCACTCATGATAAGGATCTTTCCATTTTACAAAGCCATTCTAAGACAATGACATAGAGAGGAAAGCTGCTTGTGGTCAGAAGTGTCTTTTCACTTTTTCCGTTCCTTTATTTTACAGTCATTCATGTCCTTTGGTGCTGTTTGTGCATTGTAGTGGAGCGTATGGACTCACCCGATCAGCGGACTCCTGGCTCAGCAAGTACACAATGGCAATGGTGTTGATCGTGGTGCTGATGTCAGGCAAGGTCGCAAAAACAGAGTCCCTCGTGGTTTCTCCTTTTTGACGGGGTGGTGGACATCGGAGAGAGCTTGGAAAGTTGGGCATAAATCCCCCGAAGTCAAACTGAGAGGGCAGAGTGAGTGAAGGGTCAAGCATAGTTGTTTACATTAGTACATTAGATGTAAATTCAGGCAAAACGTTTCAAAACCTGGCCATTGTTGACCGCGGAATGTTGGCCAGACACTGTGAAGATCACCATGGTGACGAACTTAGCCAGCTCTTTGACGTTGCAGAAAGACTTGGGAAATCCTAAAAGTGAGGTGAGTGGAAAGGTTTTAAGTAGGATTTGTAGCTTTAGGTAGAAAACAAACAAAAACACAAACCAAAAAAATAAAACATACCAGCTTCACTGTGTTCCAGGAAGCCGTTTTCTCTTATCTCAGTGAGCCATGAGTGCAGCTCGTTGTCTTCCTTGACATCTTGATCGCTGTAGTAATGCGACACAAATCCAGACACAAACCTAGTGGATAAAAATGTTCAGACATTATTTTATTATTAAATTGATGACACCATTCGTGGCAACTGACACTGTTTATGGGGGGAATCATGGATTTAGTGTGAAGAACACACTAATCAAGAATGTTATGGCTGAAATAATAATGAAAAATATTCGATCACACCCTTTGTGCTGGTGGCGGCAGCCAATTTAGTAAGTTTTCTACTAAGAACTTCATGCAAATGAACACAGAGAGAACTTCATAACTGACATATGACCAGTGTTACTGGCTCATATGCTTTTGTATGAAAATTGCTTAAAAAAAGGATATTTTATTAAACTGCATCAAGCATTAAGACTCTTTTCTGGCTCTTTTCTAGCAAACTTCCACTGGCTGTCCGAACAGCAGACTCCCTCGCCGTCTTCTAACGCAGACTGAGGATCCACCACTTGATAAAGCAAGTAAATTAACGCCTATGGAAATGTCATGTGTTGCACTTATGTTATATTCTACTTCAGTGTATCTGGCAGGGTTGAAGACTGTAAGCAAGGGACTTTTAATTTGGCAGTAGCACCTCTAAGGCCACCATTATCAGGATGCATATAGTCCCGCGTTACGTTGTTGAAGTATTGTTTGGTCTTGTTCAGTGTCTGTCAGAAGCACATGGAGGTCAGCATTAAACACTGTTAGAGTGTTTGTTCATTTATTTATTTATTTATTTTTCAGTTTTCCCTTCGCTTAAGCTTCGCTTGAAAAA